CTCTCTCTCTCTCTCAAAAATAAATAAACATTAAAAAGAAATTAGAAAAAAAAACCCCAGCAAACACAGCTATCACCTCTGTAATGTGGAATCATCTGCTAGGGTTCTCGTAGCTCAGCCCCGACACTGGAGGAGCTTGGAAGTCACCGCTCTTGTCCTTTACCACAAGAAAAAGTAGCACAAGCTGAAAATCAATGACTTTCCCGGACCCCTCGGAGAACTGAGGTTGCACACTGTCCCCTTGACATCTGGAGAGAAAGGCAGGCCCAGAGGGTCATTGTCAAGACCTGTCCATCTGAACCTCCAGCCACGCGAGCCACGAACGGGGACACTTAAATGGCAGTTTTGAAGAGTTGCTGGAGGCTGAGTGTGTACTTGCCTGAGAGTGAGGAAGTCCAGCACTAGGATGAGCACAGCACGCAGGGGAGGGAGGCGAATGCCAGCGATGTCATAAGGGACGTGAGGGAGAAGTTGGGCACACTCTGTGACAAGGTGCCTGCACTACCTGAGAAGTGGTATAGTGTGATTTGAAGGGGGGTTTAGAATAGTTAAAAATGTATATGGGAAACTCTAGGGAAGCCACTCTAATTTTTATTTTAGAGTAGAATTGATAGGCTGAAGAGTCAGATAAGATGAAATCATATTAAATGCTCAAGTGAACCAGAGAAGGTAGAAAAAAAGGAAGAAAAACCCCAAACAGATGTGATGATTAGTAAACACTAAAATCGTTGTAAGTGGGGCAGTAACCCAACTCTATCAATAACCGCTTTAAATGTGAATGGTCTACCTTTACTTAATTATGTCTACAAAGACTCTTTTTCCAAGGAAAGCCCGGAGCCTTCTCCGGATTCTGTGTCTCCCTCTCTCTCTGCCCCTCCCCTGCTCATACTCTGTCTCTCTCTGACTCTTAAATATAAATAAATGTTAAAAAAAGAAAAGAAAAGAAAAGACAAACCCAACGCTGGCAAGGATGTGGAGAAACTGGAATTTACACGAGGACCTGACATTTATTTATTCCCAGGGACCGGCTGGTGGCAGGCACTTATTATATTGAATTGTGGATGCGTGTATTAATTGGTAAAACTCTTTGGGGGAAAAATGTGGCAATGGATTCCAAGAACCTTGAAAATAAAAATGTCCATTGGCTGGAAAAAAATGTGAGTGGTCTAAATACACCAACTGAGAGACAGTTTTGGGGCCCCTGGGTGTCTCAGTTGGTTAAGCATCTGACTTCGGCTTAGGTCATGATCTCGAAGTTTGTGAGTTTGAGCCCTGTGTAGGGCTCTGTGCTGACAGATTGGAGCCTGGAGCCTGCTTCGGATTCTGTATCTCCCTCTCTCTCTGCCTCTCCCCCGATCACACTCTGTCTCTCTGTCTCTCTTTCTCAAAAATAAATAAACATTAAAAAAAATTAAAAAGAAAGAGACAGTTTTGCCAGAGTGGACAAAACCCCCCCCCCAAGACTCAATTATGTTGTTTGAAAGAAATCTACTTTAAATATAAAGGCTCATGTAGGTTAAAAACAAAGGTGTTTGTGACAACATGAATGGACCTTGAAGGTATAATGCTAAGGGAAATAAGCCAGAGAAAGAGAAATGCATGTGATTTCCCCTATATGTGAAATATAAAAAACAAAACAAACAAAAAAATGAAACAGAGTCTTAAATATAGAGAGGAGGTTGCCAGAGGAGAGATGGGTGAGGGGAGTGGGGGAAGAGAAGCGGATGAAGAGATGTGAACTTCCAGTTATAAAATAAATAAGTCACGGAGATGAAAAGTATGTAATACAATAATACTGTCATAACATTGTACGGTGACAGATGGTGACCACACTTACCCCGGTGAGCTTTGAGCAACGTATAGGATCATTGAATCACCGCGTTGTATGCCTGAAAGTTGTGAAACATTGTATATCGATTATAGTTCCATTAAAAAAGGTAAATGAAAAAAAAAAAAAAAAGGCACCGGGAAAGATACACGGAATTAACACACCAGTGGGCAGAAAGCAGGCGCAGCTATGTTAATTTCCGACGAAAGCAGACTTCAGAAGAAGGAAAATTACCAGGGGTAAAGGGGGCCGTCGCATCACAATGAAGAGGTCAATTCTCCAAGAGGATGTAACAATCTTAAAAGTGTATGTACCAAATAACCCGTCAAAATTCGTGAGGCAAAGCCGACAGAAATGCAAGAGGCAGACAAATCCACCGTTACAGCTGGAGACATCAACGTGCCTCTTTCAGTAATTGGTAGATCAAGCGGGCGGAAAATCAGTACGGACACCTGCCCTAAAATAACCTGCTGAGTTACGCGGGAAACAAACTTTTCCGTGGTCTTTCATTTATTTCCTTAACCTCTTCATTTTGTTGTCTTTATTGCTTTGGCCTCTTTGAAACGACCGAAGAGAAACCTCAGGGGGAATCTGAAATGCTATTGGAGTTTAATGTGGTTAAAAAAAAATGGGTCCTATCAAAGCAAATAATGACCTCCCCTTTGTTTTATGAGATGGAATATCGTGGCATTTCTATACATGTTCCTTTGCATAACCGCTGCTTTATTTCAAGTTATTTTTTTGTGCCTTCGTTCCTTTGACCCTTTACCACCAGTATCTGTAAAATGGGCATGAGAATACACACCGGGCAGGCAGAACAGGTGTCCTCACTTCTATTTTATAGGTTTTGTAACCCAAGATCCAAAGAGACGCAGTGACTCGGCTATGATCGCCCGGCGAGGAGGTGACAGATCGGGATAGAAAATGCAATTCTTTCAATTCTTACCCCACTATTTCTTCCACTCCGCTAGAGTCTTCTCAAAATAACGGGGTTTGGGAGAGATTTCTTTGCAGACTGCTATTTTGAATGTTGTAGACGCAGCGTTAGGGGAGACACCCCCCACCGACACACTCCAACATTTGTACAATATTCCCTTCCAAAGATGTTTTTTTTGAAAACAGCAGCTACTGTTTATGAAGCCATTCCGGATTTGACAGGATGCTGTCAAGTGTTCAATCCCTCCCGCCCTCCCTCCCCCTCTCTCTTCTCTTCTGAACCACTGCCTCCACCCCCAGCTCCTACAGACCCCTGTGTCTGAGGCTTCCATTGCTTCAAGAACAGAGTCAGAGAAAAAAAGACTTCCAACGCACGGCTTTTAAGATGCAATCCTGGTGAATGTCAGAGAGATGTGGGAGAATTCATGCTGTACCAGGGTTCGTTCCGTCTATTTAAGATGAGACTGTGGAAGAGGGGACTCCTGGTCCCTGGGGTGGTGGAGGTGGTTTGTAAAGCAGCCAGGAGGGTAAGCTGGCACTGCACCCTGCTCCTCCGCAACCGTCCTTGTGCCCTGTTGCCAAAGGGAGAGGGGTGACACCATTCCCGATGACTTTGAGGACCTGAGCCCACAGGGAGCGGCTGCTTTGCTTCGCAGGAACAGCTTACCAGGGCGTCGTGCAAGGATAATGGCAGGTGTCATCTGGGCTGGAGGACGAGAATCCAAGTTCCTGGTGGCCCTGAGCCAGCAAGGTGAGAAGAGCAGGAGCTTTGGGACTCCAAAGGCGGGTGGCACACCCAGAGGGCGTCCTGCGTGCGGAGCACAACAGCTCTGGGGCAGAAACTGATGGTTGGCTGACCCGGCAGCCATTGCTGTCCCCACTCCCCTGCCACCTCCGCCTACAGGGGACCAGAGTGTTAATGGTGTTTCTTCAGTGTGACTGGCAGTGGCCAGCCTCCAGACTTCATGGTTGACGAGGACAAGAAACTCCTTTGGAGAGGTTCTCAAACTTGAGCGTGCGGGAGAACCACCTGGGAGGCTTGCTGGCTCACAGATTGCTGGTTCCGACGCAGTAGGCTGGAGTGGAGCCTGAGGGTCTGTAGTTCTAGCAAAGTCCCCAAGGGACGCCGGTGCTGCTGGTGTGGGGACCAGACTTTGAGAAGCACGGCTGTAACTCGCGGCAAGTCGGGACCACACTTGCTGGGGAACAGAGTCCTAA